GCGCGACACAGCAAGAATAAAAAACTAATCCGCTCTGGACTACAAGCTTTTTTCATATGCCACACGGAGAGATTGAAGAGGCGACCATAGGCGCCGCCAGGCGGCGGCTGCCCTTCGGCCTTAGTCCCCTACTATCAAATATATACCTTAATGAACTCGACAACTTCTTACTTGAACCGTTTTTTCACGGAATGTCAAAATTTTAAATTTGGATTATCCGGTCGTCGGTTTATTTTTCAGGGCAATTATAGAAGGACGAGGAGGACAGAGATGGATAGTCGCATAGAAACCGGGATTACTCATTGGCTTCACAAGCAGCGGTGGTGCCGAAATCAGAACGGTCTATACGACCTCTATAACATTTTTTGCCTTGCCGAAATTTCGTAGCACACACAGCGGAATTGCCTTCTCTGACATCGAGATTGGCAGGCCATCTGAGAGCAGTGTAACTGCTTTTTTTTTGAAAGATTGTTTTTTTTTGCAGACACTCGGTTAGTTTTTTGAGAGAGCCTCTAGCCTTCCCTCCACGGGATGACAAAAGGAGGAACGGTCTCCTCAGGAATCAGTATGCAGTTCAGGTGCAGCAAGAGGCTGTGGAATCTTGGCTGAGGAGAATCTCCTCTGCAGGACCGATAGATGAACGGGCTCCTACGAAAGTACATTCACTGTGATCAGTGATAGATACAGACGCGACTTTACTCAACTTTACTTGATTTTTTTTCTGGCACGGCTGGAGTCGGACTCTGGCAGAGGAAGGTCCAAGGGACATATCAGCCCTAACCTCCGAGTAAACTTCCGGACCGAGAATTTTTTTGGGACGCAGCGACACTTTTAGGATGTGGATCTGGTCGCGGAGAGCGGAACATATCGATTTCGAACGGAATACTGTAGCTTGGTGGCCAGGAAATGAGGATGAACAAACGGGGAGACAGGAGAGAGACCAGAGGTTTATGAGTAGGAGGTGAAATGGAAAACAGTATACGAGTAGAGGCTACTTCGATTCTGTTCATCGCCTGAGAGGACGTGGCAGAAGGGTGATGCTGAGATGACCAGCTGTCATCTCGGTATTCTATGTTGCACATTATGTCCTCCACGAGAGTAAAACCTCGCATTATGTGCGCGATTATTCTACATGAACTGAATCCCCTTTTTTCAATCCTTTTTTTTTCTTTTTTCTTTTTTTTTCTTTTTTCCACACACTCGTCTGGATCCAAAGTTCATTAATTAAGGCTGAAGACTCCAGTTCCTTTCCTTCCAATGTGTCCCAATTTCCCAAATTCTCGGGCCCACTCACGAGAGAGTTGGTGCCATCGTTCCCCTCTGCCACGCAAGAGACGTGCTTCGCAATCACAGGAATACAAAGTCGCAAACAACCAACAATAAGGCTTGAGATTCCGGTGTCCGCTTTCACCTCTCTTGAGAGAGGCGTGCTCACGAATACAAGATAACTGCAAATCACAAGATATCAGACTGAGAAAGAGAGACCTGCAAAGTTCTTTTTTTTTCTAACTGAGTGTTCCCGTGTGCGCTGGCTGGTAGAGGGAGGTGGAGGCCCACCTCCACCTCCACTCCACCTCCACTCCACCTCCAGTGCGATATCACAAACAACTCACAATGCATTGGAAGGCACGCGCACACACGCAACAACGCACACATTGAATTGCACATTCGTCATCGCTCCATGAGGTCTCAGCAAGTCCTGATGACGCAAGCCATGGCGTATGAGGGGCCGGCACTGCAGCGACACTGCGGCGTACGGAAATGGAGCATAAAGTACACACACACTTCGGCTTTGTGTAGGTGATTGGGCCTCACTCCACTACACACTGCTTTAAGTGCACGTGGACGCTTTCAAGACTAGGTGCACTCCAACGAGTCCGACCTTTTGAATGCACCTAGTCCCCAAAGCGCCCAAATGCATGTAGTGTGTTGTTTGTTTGTTCGCTCAAACTTTGTATGCTAATTTTGGCGGATACAACCATTCTCGTATATATATATATTGTGACGCTAATCCATTGGTCACCAAGAGGAGGAGGGGAAAAAAGAAAACACAAAAGAAAACAGACGAGGCAGCGGCACAAAAGTGGAAGTGTGGCCAGGAGAGGGATCTCGAATCAGGTGATGTTCCCAAAAAAATAAAAAATAAAAAAAAATCAGGTGATGTCAGTTGAACAACTAGAACGATGAGTGGAGGAACTGTCTCTTATACACATCTAGATGTGTATAAGAGACAGGGGGAGGGGTGGATGGTGTTGCAGAGGGGGAAGCAGGAGTGAACGAGAAGGGCGGATGGGGTTGTAGAGGGGGAAAGCATGCGAGGACAAGAACTAATAGAACGAGAGGGGAGGAAATGTGAGAAAATGACAGGCCAGAAAGTTTTTTTCCAATTTTTCATTATTTTTGTTTATTTGGGAGGGGAGGGGGGAGGAAGTCGCAGAGGAGGAAGCATGAGTGAATGAGAAGGGTGGATGGGGTTGTAGAGGGGGAATGAATGAGAGAATGAAAACTACTAGAACTCTGAGTGGATGGAGGAAACGTGAGAAAATGAACACGCCAGTAATGGTGGGGGGGGTTGCACCCGGGGGGGGGGGGGGGGGGGGGG